CGCGTGGCGGCCGCCTTGAGGGGAGGGCGGCGCAGCTGCGTTTGCTTCTGCTTTTGCTGTGTTCGGGGGGAAGTTTATTCCTTCCTCAAATCAAGCGTTAGCTAAACCCAAACGGAGGCACGCGGCCGTAGATTTATCAACTGCGATGTGGCTTTCCAGCCACCGCTGGGCAGCTCAGTTCTCCCCGGGTTTGCCCAAAAAGAGCCCCAAAAGGGAGTGTGTTTGTGTGTGTGTGTGTGTTTGCGCGCCGTTTGCCGGCATGTTTCTCCTGCAAGTTGCCTTCAAGCTGGATGCCGCAGCCGGGTGTGAAATGCGTGATTAAACCAGGAGATTGCAGGCTCTTGCTTAACTGCTTGCACTTCTTGTTTTTCTCCAAGTCCTCACGCCCTTTCCTCATTCTACTTCTTCTTTTTAAGGCAAAGCATGCCCACTTAGAGTAATAAAAGGTAATTTTGGGTTAGTCACAGCTGTCACCGTTAGCACCATTGCTAGTCTTCCTTGGCTGAAGAAAATGAGTACTGTCACCATAGGGAACATGACTGTGTTTTATGAGTCTCCTAAAGGGTCACTTAAATAAATCGCAAAATAACCCCCACTTCTGGGAAGCAAGTTTCACAGTCAGGTGGAAAAAACTATGTAGTGTACCTGTTTATGAAGCAGAATCATCTGTAGTTTCACGTTAAGTTAGGTGATAGCAGGACATTTATGTCACCAAAAATACTATAAATGATAGCCCTATTTCTAAGCAGTAACACAAATATAACAGGGCATGCTGGTAGTTCCAAAACTTTCTTTTAGGTTAACTTACTAATTTTTAAGTCAGTCATGTTTTTGTGTGTTTATGGAACACGAACTTGGAGTGGTACTAAGGATTTGCCTCTGTCAGGCATTAGAGTTTGTAGAATAAACTTTGTGAAAGTAACTTTTGACTTAAAATCAGACTGTTGTGGGGAACCACGACATGGGAAGTTTTGTAACTGGAGACCTTCCTCCCTCATGACAGCTGAGCATTTTGACTGCGAAGCAGATCTTAGGGTGCCAGTATGATACATCCTCCAGAAGTTCACACATTTTTTTGGACGTGAATGGCAGTATTAATCACATTATAATAGAAATGTTTTCACTCAGGATGAACAGACCTTGCAAATGAGTAAGTGTATATATCTGGCTGGGGAATAGAAGGATGTATTTGTTTCCTAAGTAAAAATGACTTTAACTGAATTTAACACTTTAATTTTCTGATTTTCTTTCTCTTTTTAATGCTTAATTTCACTTGTACTTTCTCACTGCAGTAATATTGCAACTGCTTTTTGGAACAAAATTTACACAGACAATGAACAGTAAATAGATATGGGAACTCCATTCTGCTTACTTAACTTTTACTGCAAAGCAAACTTTTACTAACGTACTGTCATTGGAAAGTGTCGCCCTCCTAGTGGGCTCTCAAAAGGATACCAGTTTTTTGACAAATAAATAAATATAAAGAAAAGATAGAAGGAAACAAGTGCATTTTGTGAATTAATTTGACTAACAACATAAAACTAAGAAATCAGATACCATATGGGGCATAAATGTTAAAAAAAAAGTATTTTTCAAGATTGCTTCTGGTTTGTTTCCTGAGACATTGTTGTGTTAAAACATGAATGTGCTATGCCATGCTAAACCCAAAAGGTAGATGTACGATGGCAGAATTAATTCTGTATTTAGATCTCATCCAAGAGATCTAATGAATTGCTGTAATGATCAATTACAATTGATCAATTGATTACATCAATGATTAATTGATATAAATGATGTAAGTTCTGAACATCATTATAAAGAAATAAAGGGAAGCTCTTCTGTGCCTTTGCCAGGACAATACCCCAGCTGTCTGGGCATTGTGTACTGAAGTTCCTGCTCTGTTTGGATTTAAAAAGAAGGCTTGGTCCACTGTCCCCATGTCTACTGTTCGACCCTGTCACAGCATTGTTGGAGTAGAAGAGAGAGCTCATTCTTCCTTTCCCTTTAAACTGAAAATCAAATAAGGCAAACTGAACTTTTAGAAAACATTCTTGCTAAGAAGAGCTTTAAAACTGAATTAATATAGTTAAATAACAAAATGAATTAGAATTACACATATAGACTTAGATCATTATTAAACTTGGAGGGGAAGGTGCTTGAATTTCGGTGTAAAACTTATTCAAAAGAAAAAGATAAATATGTTTACCTGCTTTGTCTGTTATAAACTATACAATGATGCAGTTCAAAAATATAATCAAATAAGGGGGAAGTTATATACATATTTTAGGTGGAAATAAATCTGGTAGAAGACAAATGCCATTTCATAAACTGTCAGTAGATGGCAGAAACAAGTTTTAGAGAAAGTTTGGGTGTTCCTAAGTATTGTTAGGAGGATAGAGTTACAGGAAGTTTCTCTTTGGTTTTTCCTGGACACATTTTCTGCTTTATGGGAGAGCAGGGATTTATGGTGAGAAACTTTTCTCTTTCCTTTTGGTTTTATGTGATTGCTGGTTAGCTAAAGCTGTTTTATATTCTGCATTTCATTTGAAAATGAGTAATGTTCTGTTTAGAAGGTCATTATTAAAAATATATGGTGTACTTTCAAGTATGGAAATGGGAGAAGAGCTGCTTTCTGTACGTAAAAGGACTTGCTAAATAGCAGGCTCCTTAGATTAGCTCTGCATCCGCAGTAAGAAGATTATATTGATTTAATGAAAATAGTTTTTAATACAGTTCAGGATTTAGTCTAATTCCATGAGACGTTTCCTCCATATAAACTCTGTATTAGAGTTTCTGCATTTGTTAGATTTCTTGGCTGTGTTGAATTACTAGGGTGTCATCAAGATTGTCATGAGACACTCCCCAAGGTTAAGCTGTTAGTAGTAGTAGGTTTTAGTCAGTTTATACTGAGTGGACAAGCTCTTAAAAACCTTCAGTGTCTTCTCTGACCCTTCAATAAACAGAGCAGCTTCTCAGTGTTCTTGGATTGCATGCCCTATTGGATGATTTCTCTCCTTACATCTAGATAATGCTCTTTGTGTCAAACTTGAGGACTTTTCTGAATTAGAAGTGATATATAAAATATAATTTCTCCTATGTTAGCCTGAAAATCACAGGTCTGTGTTATAACAGATGTTAATTTCATTGCTTCACAGGAAAATGTAAACGAAGTCTGAAGTATGTGTAAATAGTTTGACTATGAATGCCAAGTTACCGGAATGACAAAGAAAATGGATATTAATTAATGTGGAAGAATAATATCCTTCTGTCACCTAGTTCCTGGGTATTGCTGAAATTTTGTTTTAAGAAGGGATAAAGATTTGGTGGATTTTTATTCATCTTTTCTCTTGAAGCTACACATTTTGTTTGTTTACATGCATGTATATGTCTGTTACCCAGACAATCAGAAGAATAGTGTAGAGGATCTGGTTATCTTTTGTGCTCTGCATATGCAAGAGCACATGCAAAAAGAGTCTCTTGAGAGCTAGGATGGTAAAACTGTATATAAGTTATTTCAAATGCAAGTCTAGAAATAAGGTGGGAAAAGATCTGCCTCTCCATTACACTCTTTTTGGATGGTTTCCAAGTCTCTTTTCATGCCTTCCCTGCAAAATGAGAATTCAGTTGTCTTGCTATGATTTGGTGACTTGTTGTGATTTCTTAATATAAGTTATGTTACATCGACAGTCATACCCAATAATGTAAATTCTAAGAAAGCATGCAGAATGGGTAATGGTGGAGAGACTAGGGTCCTCCAGGCAGCAGCATGAATCTCACCATGGATAGTGATACCTTACTGTATCATCACTGCAAATAATTTGTTTCAGTCGTGGTTTTGTAATCATGGGTCCATTTTAAAACTTGTCTACTGAGCATAATTTGCATCTTCAACGGAGAATATGAGGGATAGATGATCTTACTGATCTTGTCAGATTTTATACCTTCTTCTCAAATTGTGTTGCATAGCTCTGAAGGGCCTACACGGTGCATGAGACGCACTGTGTAGGCCCCCCAGTTCTGTGAATAGCTGACAGTATTCAGTCATTTTATAAGAAGCAGACTCCTGTAAGTGCTAAACAAAGCAGATTTTACCAAATTTTACTGTTGTCCTCTAAAACAGGAATGTCTCTCCTGAATGATAAGTGCTTTCATTGCTTCTTGAGTAAAAGGGAGCGACAGGAAGTTGGAATGTTACAGAATCAGACACTATGGTGACTTCTGGATAGCCACTTAATAATACGTGTTTTTGTTGTTGCTGTTGTTTGTTCCAGGATTAGAACAAAGATGGATAGACAAAGAAGAGCACTGAGCATCTCCAAGGAACTGTAAAAAGGACAGAGAAGATGAGATCCCTCAAAAACCTTTTTCTTTATGAATGTCTGTTTACATTAACTTTTTGGAACAGTATCAGCTTGTCTGTAGGAAATGAACACTCTACATCTGTTTTTCATTATCTTCCAGAGGATTATTCTGACAACAAAATCAAGAGTCTGCCACTATTGAATAAAAATAGTCATAAATCCAGAGCTAGTTCTGATTGGGTTGTAATACAGAATACTACAGAAAGCCTATCACTATCAGAGATCAAAAATAAAGATGTAAATAAATTAATAGCTCTATTATCAAATTTCAAAAAAGGCTCCAGATTACAATATCTGACATTGTCGAATATTTCAGTGAACTGGATATATTTTGTTAAAATTCTTCAGACTATATGGCACTCATCCATTGAGTACGTCAATGTCAACAGTATGACACAGCTGTCAAATATTGTCCCTTACAACTTTGATTATTCTGGTACCTCTATGAAGGCACTAACAATGAAGAAGGTTTTAATCACAAGTTTATATTTTACACAGGATGACATATACAAAATATTTTCAGACATGAACATTGCGTCCTTGACCATAGCTGAATCAGAGATGATACATATGTTGTGTCCTTCCTATGACAGTCCCTTCAAATACTTAAATTTTTTAAAGAATGATTTAACAGATCTGCTTTTTCAAAGTTGTGAAACATTAATTCACCTGGAGAAACTTATCTTGGGGAGAAATAAATTTAAGAGCCTGTTCCGGGTGAGCCTAATGACCAGCCATATGCAATCGCTGAGCTATTTGGACATGAGCAGCAACATGCTGCATTACGATGGGGCTGAGGAGCACTGCCAGTGGGCCGACTCCCTGACGGAGCTGGACTTATCCTCCAACCAGCTGACGGAGTCCGTGTTTGAGTGCTTGCCGGTCAATATCAAAAGGCTGGATCTACAGAACAACCAGATTGCGAGTGTGCCCAAAGGGATTGCTGAGCTGCAGTCCTTGAGAGAGCTGAATCTGGCTTCGAACCGTCTAAGCGACCTGCCCGGCTGCAGCAGCTTTCCTGCGCTGGCAGCCCTGAACATCGAGATGAATTCAATCCTCGCGCCGTCGACGAACTTTGTCGCGAGCTGCCAGCGCGTGGGGGAGCTGCGAGCGGGGCACAACCCGTTCAAGTGCTCCTGTGAGCTGCGGGCCTTCATCCGCCTGGAGAGGCAGTCTGGGGGGAAGCTGTGGGGCTGGCCCGAGGCCTACGTGTGCCAGTACCCGGATGACCTGCGCGGAACCGAGCTGAAGGACTTCCACGTGAGCGAGCTGTCTTGCAACACCACCCTCTTGCTCGTGATCGCGCTGCTTGTGACACTGGTGCTGGTGGCCGTCGTGGCCTTTCTGTGCATCTACTTTGATGCCCCGTGGTACATTCGGATGACTTGGCAATGGACGCAGACGAAGCGGAGGGCTTGGCACGAGCTACAAGTTGATCTTTGTGCTGTCTCCCAACTTTGTGCAGAGCGAGTGGTGTCACTATGAGCTCTACTTTGCCCACCACAAGTTATTTAGCGACAGCTCCGATAGCTTAATCCTCATTTTACTGGAGCCGATTCCTCCGTACATCATTCCTGCCAGGTATCACAAGCTGAAGGCTCTCATGGCCAAGAGAACGTACCTGGAGTGGCCAAAGGAGAGGAGCAAGCATGCCCTTTTCTGGGCTAACTTGAGAGCAGCAATTAGCATTAACCTGCCTATGGCTGATGGACACAGCTGTGGGGAATGTAATTAAGAATCTGCTTCTTGCAGTTTTTTTTGTTGTTCTTGTTTCTTTACAAAATAATAAATGTTTGATAGCTTTCATTGATTGTTTCCCTCTTTCTTGTAGAACCATGTTCTACAACTATATTATTGTCTTATGCTTCCTCTTAACTGTAGAAAAAATCAACTTAGAAATCCATTACCATTTGAGATTGATGCAGAGAAGGCAAAGCAGAAATTCATGCGGAATGTGTGTTTTGAAATACAGCTTGAAATACAGTAGTAAATTTTTCTAAGCAGAATAGTATTTTCAGAAGTTGTTATAGTCATGTAGAAAGGGATATTTGAATTGCTGGAGAGACGGGCTAATCACACAGCTTCGGCAGCTCGATCACATGACTTCCGTTGTCAAAATTGGCTCACCAGAAAGGAAATTACAGACTCTGTGAAGGTGTCCAGAAACCAAGAGCTGAAGGCAGTTCCTGGATGGAATTTTCTCAGATTCAGGAAGCTGGCACCCAGATATAGAAATCCGTGAGTATATAACATAGGTGGACAAAAAGGGTTATGTTAGAAAAGAGGACTAATTTGGGGAGTTTGGGGAGGGAGGAGGGGGAATTAAAAAAAAAAACAAAACCCTACTTCTCCTTTAGGGGTTTGTAGTTTGGCGCTGTAGTTCCTACATGCAGGAGAAAATTTGAACTGGCAACCAAAACTGCAGTCCTAACTCTCTGACACTGTCCTGGTATCACCTTGGCCCTGAGGTTAACTTGATCTCTAGTGGCATAACTACCTTCATCATCAATGGCTGTATCTTGAGAAACTAGCTTCTTCTTAGCTCGTCCTTTTTCTAGCTTCTGACTTTTCTTTTTCTATCCATTATCTATCTCATTTTATGCTGCTGATTAGAAGACTGTCCTTTTTGGCCAAAACAGTACCTTTTGCAGCAGAACTTTAAGTCCCCCTCAGCAAAGCAATAAACAGCCAGGGGTTGAGAACATTTGCCAGGTCTTGGAACAGCTGATATGACCAGATGCAGCCAGATGTTGATGGAAGCAGAAACACAAGCTACATTTACAGTATTTGCTCTCCTTTATGGGAAGATAGCATGCCCCTTTGCCTCAATTGTGTTGTTTTGTTTTCAAGAAGATGCAGTTAGACTCTGACGAGCATTCACAACTGCTAAAGATCATCACGGCAAACATTATTGTTGTAAGTTGAACAATGGGGGCAGAAGACCTGCAGAGATGAACAAGGAGCTCCTGGAAAAACCTAAATATAAAGAAGTGCAGAGAAGGTGGAAGCAGAGATGTGCCTAGGAAGGCCAAGATGCATTTGAAATTAAATCTGTGAAAGGATGCCAATAATAGCAAGAAGGGCTTCTTTAGTTGCAAGAAAGACTATAGACAAGAAAGAAAAGGCATGCTAATGAATGGATCAGGGCCCTGATGGCAAATGATACAGAGAAGGCAGAGATATCAAATGTTTTTTTTTTGTTCTAGTCTTTATTGCTAAGACCAACCCTTAGAAATCCCAGACTCTAGAGACCATGGAGCAAGTTCTGGAGAAAGGAAGAATTTCCTTTGATGGGGAGACTTGGGTTAGAGATCATTTATGCAAACTGCATACACATGTCCATGGGTCCTGATGGGATTCATCCACAAGTGCTGAGGGAGCCAGCAAATGTGATTGCTAGGCTCAATCATCTTTGAAAGAACATGGAGAACAAGAGAAGTGTCGGAGGACTGGAAGAAAGCTAATGTTACTTCAGTCTTCAAAAAGGGCAAGGAGGAGGACCCAGGGAACTACAGGCCAGTTGGCATCACTTTCATCCCTGGAAAAATGATTCAGCTCATCCTGAATGCCATCTCTAAGCATGTGAAGGATAAGGAGATCAGAAATAGTCAGCATGCATTCAAGAGGAAATCATGCTATCCAAACCTCATGGCCATCTATGATGGGATGGGTAGCTGGGTAGATGAGGCGAGAGAGGTGGCTGTTGTCTGCTTTGACTTCAGCAAGGCTTCTGACACTGTATCCCGTGACATCCTCACAGGCAAGCTCAGGAAGCATGGTTAGGTGAGTGAACAGTGAGGTGGATTGAGAACTGGCTAAATAGCAGAGTTTAGAGGGTGGTACAAAGTGGTACACAGTCTATTTGGAGGCCTGTAGATAGCGTAGTCTCCCATGGGTCAGTACTGGGTCCAGTATTGCTCAGCATAATCATCAATGATCTGGATGGAGGCACAGAGTACACCCTCAGCAGTCTGCTGAAAATACAAAACCGGGAGGAGTGACTGACACACTGTGCTGCCTTTTAGAGGCACCTTGACAGACTGGAGAGATGGGCAGGCAGGAACCTCATGAAGTTCAGCAAAGGGATGTGCAAAGACCTTTACCTAGGGAGAAATAACCCCTGGCAGCAATACAGGCTGCAGGCTGACACAGTCCTCATCTGGATACAATCCCCAGAAACGTGCTCTTGGAGACCCTGCTTGAGCAGGAGGTTGGACTAAATGATTCCCAGAAATCTTTTCCATCCTCGACCCTTCTGTGATTCTGTGATTCTTCTGTGATTCTCTTGCCTACCCAAAGGACAGTTGTTTGCCATCTTTAATGCCAGACTTAGACAAGAAGGTAATATCAGACCAATAAGGAGAGTGTTATGTTTTTCCAAAATTTGCTTCAGACTGGGGAAAGAGGAAAGGATATAAATATAAAACCATTACTTAGTGTAGAAAGTTCACATGCTTTATCTGATTTTTGTTTTCCATTATTATTAGCAAAATATAGTAGTTGTGATTTTTTTTTACATAGCTCTAAGCAGACGGACATGCCTTGGTTGAAATCTTGATTATTTAATTTATATTATTCAATGATTTACAGTGAAAAGGTCAAATTTAACACCTCTAGCACTCTCATCTCATTTCACTCAATTAATAAAACACACTATTGCCAAATTGCTGTCTCACTCAGGACTGCAGAAAGGAATGTTGTTTTCTGCACTTCTTTCATTTAGCTCTTCAAAAAGGCTAGAAAGCCTTCATGTTACTCAGATGAGAATACACAGCTATTCTCAGATTTTAATGATTTCTTTTAGGAGTGGAAGTGTTCAGCAGTAACGTTGTGGAGAGAACTTGGGAACTCCATATGCTTCTGGCAGTGTAGCTGGTATGATCCTAAGTAGAAGTATGTAATTACAAGTTTCCTGAGTATGTTCAAATTGAGCGAATAATGTTGGAAAGCAAGACTTGTAATAATAAGGGGAAGTAATAAAAACTTGTACTTTGGGACCCAAAGCCCAAATATTCACAGAATCACAGAATGGTTAAGGTTGGAAGGGACCTCTAGAGATCATCTAGTCCAACCCCCCTGTTCCAGCAGGGACACCTGGAGCACGTGGCACAGGACTGCATCCAAACGGGTTTGGAGTCCACAACCTCTCTATTATTACACTCTTGTGTATATTATGTGCCAGATAAACAGCAAAACAGCTGAACAAGCAGTGAATTATTGCAACCACTTTATTGGTCAGATTCCATGGGGAGAAGATACTTCAAGAGATGTCAGGATCACAGTATTTCAGAAAACCACCTTGGCCTTTGCCATACTCTGAACATTTCCATAAAAGAATTTTTAGCCCAAGGAGAAATTTTTCCCATATGTGGAAGCCATATGTTAGCCTCGCATCCCTTATCAGCCTTTTTTTCCTGGAACTTTATTTGATATTTTGTAAAGTAGCAGCATTATTCTGCATACACTAATAACCAGTCTGCAACTGGTTCTACAGGTAAAGTTACAGCTGTTAATGCACTTCAGCTGGGAGGAAAAGGGAGCAGGTAAATACACTCCTATGCCAGATAGTGTATCACAGCAGGTTCCCGGAATTTGCGGAGTCATCTCAGTGCTTAGCAACAATATCGCATTTACATTCATGATAGTATCAACATACAAAAGCAAACATGGGGGTTAAACACCCTCCAAATTGTAGAAAATGTGCAAATGAAGTGAAAGCAGAAATATTTTCATATATATGCAATATGGAGTATAAGTGTTATTATCTGAACTATGGCAGAATAGAAGACCTGTTGCACTATTAGGTAGCTCTTCCAAGGGCTCATCACTTTTTTTTTTTTTTGCTTCAAAATGTGAAAGAGCATCATCACAGCAGCTCAGCTGCAGAGGTTTAGAGCAGGAGACAGAACTGGGAAGAGAGAGAAAGAAAGGGGATTCCATAGAGTGAGGCATTCTGTTGAGAGGAAGGTTCAAAAACTCTGTAAAACTCATCTTTTTACTTCAGTTAGGATGATACAGATTTTCTTTCAGAAACATTTGCTGAGGTTGACTATAATGCCCGTCTGTACTCACTGGTTAGTCAAGAAAAAGTGGTACTGGTGAGCCGGTCAATGAGAGTTGGTTCTGTATTCTGCAAGGTGCCGCTCTGTTATCGGAAATAGCTTGATTTCCCCATTTTTAATCTTTGCATCTATTTATGCTCAAACAAGATAGGCTTATAATGAGATAAAATCTCTGCTCACTTTAACTTACGGTAGTATTTAGCACCCATTTTTTACCACAGGAGTAAGTTGTGACAATGAAAGTGTTGTAATTGAAGATCCTTGCACATGACCAAACACTGACCTAGCCACTTGCATCTTTACCTGATTGGATTAACTTTTTACAAGTGTTTGGATAAGTCCAGCTGCTCTGGTTATGTTTTAACTCAGTGTTTTGCATATATAAGTACTCTTCTGCAATTTAAATTGGGGGCACTTTTCACTCCTTTGGGGATTCTCTTGATCCTGAAATGTGAAAATGGTTGAAATGAAATGAAAAAATGCGGCTATTTTTTCCTCTTAGCAGCTCTGTGTGTGTTGGAATCACTCTTAAAGGAGGTTGGTGATGTATTTGAATTTGCGAACACAGCAAAGATTTTTGCATAATTATATTAGGATTAAAACTGCCTTGACTTCCCATGCTTTCATTCTTAATTTGATTATCATATTATTGCTCTGCCAACAAACACCTTCATTTGCTCCTTTCCATAGGGACATGGATTAATGCTGACCAATGGGAAAGTCTCCCGCTTATCTTGAATACAGGACAGTATCAGCTAACAAGCAGATTCTTGCTGCTTATTGAAAAACATTAATGATCCCTGGTCTTGTCTTGGGTTACAGATGTCTCAGAAGCGTGATCTGTAATGAACTACTTAGATTCGCTGCACAGAGGAAAGCAGAATACTTTATTGCTCATCAATCTCAAAATGAAAAACAGCCATTTCTTTCTAGCAAAACAAGAGGAATTCCTTCTTTTTTTTTCCTTGCAGGATTGGAAGGGTAAATGCAAAGAAAACTTCAGAAGCAAATTAATGCAAATTTTCAATTTATTTAATGCCATTGTCCAAATTAAAGTTCCAGAGGCAACCTTGAAGGTTTTTCCCAGCTTTTTAGCTGGACACCAGCTCACCTTTACCTCTCCTCCAAGGTGTTGCCTTCTTGAAGGCAATAAGCCGTGGATTGACCTGGAGTGGGTTGAACCCTCTCCTCCACTCTCCCCATGTTGACTAATACCTGAAGAATTCATTATATATTTTGTGAGTTTAATCTTAACAGTCATTAAGATTAAATGAATCTTTAGAACAAAGCCTAGATACTCTGCTTCCTTCTATCTTCTTTGTTCATCTTACTGAAGCATGTTGCATTAGTTTGGAGGCCTACAGGAATGAGATGTTATTTTCAGTTGTTTATATTTGCCTTTGAAATACTGATTTGCTCACTAGGTTTATGCCCAACTCAGAAAATTAATTGAATGAATGTTTAATGCTTCCTTCCCAGTTAACTTGTCTGACATAGCTGTGTTTCTCTTGGCCCCAATACAGCTTTCACGTCAAAGAAAATATTATCTACAGCACATCTTGATAATTTTGTGGTGGAAGTTACAATGTGAAGTCTTCATGATAACCATCTGAGGCATATTGGGTATCAAGAAGACTAGTACAGGTTTTGAACTATGTCAGTTTGCCCCTGTAACAAGCTTTTGGGATGTGAGTTTTTGCAGCCTGCCAATGTGCGACATAATTAATCTGCTTGCTGAGGAAAATCATTCCTGAGGGGTGGAGCTCTGATTCTGATATGCAGAGAAGCTGGCTGTGAAAGTTTCGCTTCCTCTTTTCTGGGTGTGTAAAAGGGCAGATGCAGCTGCCAAACTTCCAGAACACCTGTGTAACTGTCAGAAAGAGACAAAATTAGCAATGCAGATTTATTTAAGTGGTCTTGCTTTGGTAAATATTCTGCGCAGGAGATAGGTCTATTTCCTCCTAAACCATAGCTATGTAAATTCTGCAAGAGTATATGTATTTTGAGTTTGGGCTGTTAAAAATTCTTTCATTTCCTTGAACTCTTAATACTTGCACTGTACTGAAAACACATGTTTTCTTAGAATTATAGAGATTACATAAATAAGCCTTTCTACTTGTGAAGGTAAAATTATTAACTATTAAAAAGGAATTATCATGTCATGTGAGATTCCTCAGCTTCAAGATCATGTATGTGTGAAATTCTGTCTTGAGAATATAAGATGACTGTTCAGAAGTCTTTTGCTGGTTCTTTGCTCAGGGATGAATTTCATACACAAAAGGTGGGTTATATTTGCTGAATTGTTTAATTCTTCTTCTTGTAATATATGATTTGGACTCTGTCAGATCTTAGGATTTTAGGTATTTATCTGCCATTGAAAGATATTCTTGCACTTTGAAATTTCAGTGAAAATGCTTATTTGCATGTTGAATTTCAATGAAGAAGAAAAGAATTTTTTTTTTTTTTTGGAATGGCAATTTTCATTCTCAGTCAAATGTAATTTAACACCATCATAAAATAGTGTTGGGTGAGTTATTGCTGACCCTTAATATTGCATTGTTAGATAGCTGGTTTTATTCTTTTGGTTTGGCCCTCTCTGGTGCTAGGTCGTGGATCTTGCCTGCTTACAGCCTATACTGTAACCTGCACAGTAAGTTAAAACTCATCTGGCAATAGAGCGTGGAGCAGAGAATGTGTGTGTTTTTCTCTACTTTAAGAAAAATTCTTGCTTTGTTCCTGACTTCCCCTTTGCCCTGAAGTCCCTCCAATTCCTGGTCAATTTTTTTTGATCTTGAGAGGTTCTTTGCCAACCCAGGTTCTGAAGAACAGGGTCAGCTACTCTTTGAAGGAAGCCATGTCCAGCTCATTCTTCCTGCAAGTGACACTGTGCTTTGACAAACCATCTGAGCCTCACTTATAATGTGCTCTGTGCTCAGATAGCCTAGGCCAACCTTTTGCAGATAGAACTCGACTGTCTGGCAGTCAGATTCTGTAGAGGTCCTTTTCCTCCTTAGTGATTTATTCTTTTATTGCTTTTGGTGACAGTAATTACAGATGTTTATTACTTCCTTGAGGAAAACTCGACTGATCTGGATGGGAGATTGAGAGGGGAAGGCATGAGTTCTGTTATCAGTCCAAAAAAGTTACTTATGCACTGGCACACATTACAACCTAGAACTGACAAAAATAGGCCTTTGTTTTTTGTTAAAAAATGCACAGAGAATGAATTAAAACATGTATTTTCCAAACAGAATCAGCACAGGAAAAAATAGGATATTTTTTTCCTGAAAGAGTGAAAAATCTCATTCTTCAGGTTCTCTGAGTGTTTTATCAAATGCTTTAGCAATAAAGAGTAATGCTCAGGACATAGGGCACATGGGAAGCAGAAGATGGAGGTTTCCTTTCCGCTTGACTGAGAAAAACAAGAATTGGAATTAAAGAGAAGGGGTGAGGGGGATGGGTAATACCTCAGGGGAAAAAAAAAACAAAAGAGCAAAAATCTGATTTTTAGAGCATACATTTTATATGTACGATTCTTTTTTTTTTAAAGCAATGAATAGCAAATGCAACGATTAAACATATTCAACAAATCAAATATGTTTTCTTTCCATAGGGTTGAACTCAATATTGAGAAATGTTGAACGGAAAACAAAACCATGCTTCTCTGCTTCTGTAAAGAACAAAGATAATTCTCTAAGACGTAATGGGACCCCTTACAAATATCTTTATCTTTGCCTGGGTCTTTATATTCACTCTTTGGAATAATATCCAGATGACTGTGGAAAATGAATTTACTGCAAACTATTCAAGCAATTTGCTAACTACTGTCCCAAAAAACATTTCAGTTAATATTCGTTTATTAGATTTATCATATAATAAGATTTCTGAATTTAGTATCTTTGATTTTATGCCTCTTTCTGACCTTCGAGTATTGAATCTTTCTCATAATCTAATTACAGATCTTGACTTCAATGCCTTCATGTTTAATCAAGATTTAAAATACTTAGATTTGTCTCATAACAAGATTTTGAAAGTTTACTGTCAAGCTGTTGAAAGTCTTAGACATTTAGATCTTTCTTTCAATGAGTTTACTGCCTTGCCCATCTGTCAGGAATTTGGGACCATGTTTCACCTCGAATACCTAGGATTAAGTGCCACGATGATACAGAGATCAGACTTCAGATCCATCACACATTTGCAGCTGCACACTGTCTTCCTAACCTTACAAGTCTTTTCTAGGTATGAACCTCAGAGTCTGATAGCCTTAAATACAAAGAGCCTCCACATAGTCTTTGCAGACAACCAGAACTTCAGTTTTTTCCTCTTGTATGATGGAATGAGCACGTCAGAAAATTTAAAAATAACTAACATAAGATATAGTGTGAGTTACAAAGATTTCCCTTTTCCTCCATTAGACCTTCTGAAAAAAATCAAGACAAAAGTCCTGGTGCTAGACAATGTGGATTTACAATGGGGTATCATTTTCCAGATTTTTTTGCTTATTTGGTATTCACCTGTAGAGTACTGGACTGTGAAAAACGTAACTTTTCGAGGATCAGTGGGAAAAGTGACAGAATATGAATATTTATTTTTCTTAAGCTTTCAGGAACGATTGATCGATTCAGGTAGCTCCTTGAAAGCACTAACTTTAGAACACGTTCGTAATAAGGTTTATTATTTCAACCAAGGAATTCTATATAGACAATTTTCAGAGATGAATATTGGAAAATTAACAATATGTGATGCATATATGCCACACATGCTTTGCCCCAAGAGAATAAGCTCGTTTCAGTATTTAAATTTTTCTCACAATGCCCTGACAGATGAATTGTTCCAGAATTGTGTCACTCTGACAGATTTGAAATCACTTATTTTGAGGAGAAATAAATTTAAGAGCCTGTTCCGGGTGAGCCTAATGACCAGCCATATGCAATCGCTGAGCTATTTGGACATGAGCAGCAACATGCTGCATTACGATGGGGCTGAGGAGCACTGCCAGTGGGCCGACTCCCTGACGGAGCTGGACTTATCCTCCAACCAGCTGACCGAGTCCGTGTTTGAGTGCTTGCCGGTCAATATCAAAAGGCTGGACCTACAGAACAACCAGATTGCGAGTGTGCCCAAAGGGATTGCTGAGCTGGAGTCCTTGAGAGAGCTGAATCTGGCTTCGAACCGTCTAAGCGACCTGCCCGGCTGCAGCAGCTTTCCTGCGCTGGCAGCCCTGAACATCGAGATGAATTCAATCCTCGCGCCGTCGACGGACTTTGTCGCGAGCTGCCAGCGCCGGGGGGCGCTGGGAGCGGGGCCCTCTTGCTTGTGATCGCGCTGCTCGTGACGCTGGTGCTGGTGGCCATCGTGGCCTTTCTGTGTATCTACTTTGATGCCCCGTGGTACATTCGGATGACTTGGCAATGGACGCAGACGAAGCGGAGGGCTTGGCACGGTTGCCCCAGAGAGCAGGAAGCGGCTCTGCAGTTTCACGCCTTCATTTCGTACAGCGCGCGCGATTCTGTGTGGGTCACGAATGAGCTGATCCCAAACTTGGAGAAAGGGGAGGGCTGTGTGCGGCTGTGCCAGCACGAGAGGGACTTCATCCCGGGCAAAAGCATCGTGGAGAATATCATTGACTGCATAGAGAGGAGCTACAAGTTGATCTTTGTGCTGTCTCCCAACTTTGTGCAGAGCGAGTGGTGTCACTATGAGCTCTACTTTGCCCACCACAAGTTATTTAGCGACAGCTCCGATAGCTTAATCCTCATTTTACTGGAGCCGATTCCTCCGTACATCATTCCTGCCAGGTATCACAAGCTGAAGGCTCTCATGGCCAAGAGAACGTACCTGGAGTGGCCAAAGGAGAGGAGCAAGCATGCCCTTTTCTGGGCTAACTTGAGAGCAGCTATTAGCATTAACCTGCCTATATCTTTTCAAGCAAATGAGGCATAGTAAGTGGCAATATTTTTTTGCTAGTAACAGTCTAGTGTATGAGTAATATTCTAATATTACTAGTATATGAGTAATTCACTGTGCTTCATTAAATTGTGCTCATCAAATTCTTACTTTTTCTAAACATTTTTTTCATGTTGTTTACACTGTAGCAGAATTTAATTGTAATACATACAGCAAATGCTGCTGCTTGTTTTAATGGTCAAACTAATGCATGAGAAGTCTTCTTTACCTGTCCATCATCAAAATGAGAAGGATAAAAGATGTTCACAGAGATCAAACTTACTTTCTTAGACTTAGGTTGCTTTTATTGTGGTATCTTCCTCTAAATTATAGACATACTTGAAAGTACCTGAAGTATTGAATGATTGAATATTATCAGGATTGTAAAGTCTTGCATTTAGTTTATGTTGGGCAGGAGATGTTGTGAGGATAAGATTGTAGGGATTTACTTCCTTGTGTTTAATTAGAAAATACAAGCAAAGAAGTTGTCTCTTGTGTAAAGCAATTTCTGTAAACTGGTATAATACATGACAAGGGTAAGTACTTCAAAACCTTCAGATATCACTGGAACTTTTATAAGTCTGTACTCTGAAAGAAGGATTTGTTCAAGGCCCCGTGAGCTCAGATTTTTTCTGTAATGACAGACACTCTCTGAGCTAAAAGTTGGAGTCGTTGTGCCCTGTTTAACCTCCTGGTTACTCTGCTGTACTTAGAATTGCAGCTACCTTAGAGATATCTGGTAATTCAAGATTTCATCTGAAATGTATCTGAACTGGTGAAAAAAATCTATACTGCTCTTTGCTTGCTTCCATAACCATGTCAAGCTACACTGGCTTGGTTATTTTCCCTCCTTTGTTAAAGGTAGTTATATATTTTAATAAAGTGTATTTTTATATACTCTGTCAACTTTAATGGGGCAAAGAGAAGAGATCTCCTCAATGTATAAAGTTATTGTTTCATTATGAAAGTTTCCCTCAGCTGCACTATCATAAATTTTGTTTTATTGTTTTATTGCTTTTTCTCTGCAGCAGGTAATCAGTAGTGTACCTTGTATGACATAATGCAGTTTTATAGATATTTAGAAATGTATTATACTATAAAATTTCAGGAAAGCCCATTATATTTGCTTAGTTGTAGAACACTGGCAGTGTTCTACAGGTGGCAAGTGCACATCACAAGACAGGGCTTGCGTAACCAGTGAGGAAGGACTGCATCACCAAAACTGCCCCTGAATTAGCTCATTTATTCCGTATTTAAACTTAGAAGCTTCATGTTTTGGGGTGAATCCCCTTTTATCTGCAAAGTTTCAGTGAACTTTAATATCTTGTCCTTTTATGTGCAGGCACTGAGAGTCATTGTTCGAACAGGAGAATTTTCATTAGCAAATAATCTCCGCACTGAAGTCAAACTAATTAAACTAATGATATCTGTTGATAGGAAATGTTTATCATTTGCTACACTTAGATTTAATTTTATAATCCAATAAAACTCTCATTTGTTATCTGTTATTGGATTTCCTGGTGTCATTTCACTGAAGATGAAAGTTGTGTAATTATGCTCACCACTTAATGGCAAAGCAGAGCCCTCCGGTGGTAGCTGTGAGTGGCACACAGTGAGTAAGCAAGACGCGGGATGTGCTGCTCGACCCTAGCCCGTGTGGTTGACCACGCACCCCACAGCGTGTAGGCAGCAGGGGGCAGCCAAGTGACCGCTTCACGATTTTCGGTGGTGCTGAGAAACCCCTGCTCGCTCTCCTCGTGGTTTAACTGGATACCTCAGTGGTCTGGCAGTGCCTGGCTCTGAACGTAGAGCCTTAGGAAGGATGGCTGAAGATCTCTATTATGCTGTATCTTCAGAAAAATCAGCTACAGCTTTCTGTAGTGACGTATACTGAAGGCCCCCTCTCTTCCCAAGGCCAGAACCAAGTTCTTCAGCATAGCTTAGAAGGGTCTGCTAGCCCCTCAGTTCTTCCGTGCCAGCAGGTGGAGGGGTCATGCTTGAGAAGCTGAGTTGCTTATGAACAGGGCTGGTGTTCGGAGATGCACTGGAGCTTAGGGCTCAGCAGAGCTTGTCAGGGAGGCCTGGGGGATGGTGCTTCACAGTGACCCTGCACTGCGCCCTGCGCAACCTGCCCATCTCCTTTTCCCACAGCTGCTTATCGCACTTTCCACAGCAGCAGGGATGTTAAATCTGGCACTGCAGCTGGAGCTGCTGCATTTCCTTCTAAACGTTTTTTTTTTCCAAATGCATCGTGTTGCTCTGGTTAAAGATTCTTAGATTCCTCTATAATTCCTCTCCTACCTGCTCTTAAGTAGTTGCCTGGCTATGCTTAGTGGCTACTTTACTTCAACTGTGGCCAGAGTTCCATGAAAGGCTGAAAAGCCTTGTGTGCTGTACAGCTGCTGGATACTTCAGGGATGGATTAGGAATAGAGGCCAAAGACTTAGGCTGGGTAGAAATTTGTAGCCTTTACCTCCACAGGACTCCTCTGAGAACACTACCAAAAATAGCTATTCTTCTATTTCCTAAAAGACTTTTGTGTCCCTCCACCCTGATTTAAAGAGTTTAAGCACGAGTAGCATTAATACTTACTGGAAATGTAATGAGCCTGTACTGTACTGTACTGTGTCCTGCTTAGTAGTTACAAAGAGAGGAAGTAAAGCTTCTCCAATTAGGTTTTCCAATCTCTGAACATAAAATACAATCTGCAGATTGTTCTTTATGTGTTAAGTAATGTATGATAGCAATGTAATTATGTAAGCAATGCATGGGCCTTTGAAGATGTCTTTGTATTTAAGACTGTTCTGAAACTTGAGCTATAGGTAGATATAAAAGAAATAATTTGGTTCCTCAAGTCTGCTAGGTATATTTCTTTAGAAATATCAACCCCCAATCCCCGAGATATCCCACCATATCCTTCACTTCAAAACTCTCCCTCCACTTGCCAGGTGTTAAAGTCTTCTACACCTGGTAGTGCGTCTGCCATCTTCATTTCTTAACATTGTCTTATATCATACGCTTTCTTGCAAGTGTCTAGTTTGCCTGTTATTGCTCAGAATAAGGCTGACACCCAGTGGCCAATTTACTCATTGCTGAGCACCTCCTGAGAGCAAAAAAAAAGTACAACCACTATATATATATATATATATATTGCTTTTGCAAATGCACAATTTACATTTCTGAATGTTATGTAAAACATTCTTGCCAAGAGTATTATCTACAATCTTATTTATCTATTTTGAGGATGTAGTATGGACATTACTGACCTTGTAATAAACTTGCTTTCTCCCTACTTGTGTACACAGAGTTTATCCAGAACAGACTGAACCAAAAAATATGAAAGATGTTGAGGCTCTCAAATCACGATGGCCCCACACTTCTTGGTGATAACATGCTCATTGCTTAGCAGATCTTATTAACCCAAGGCTTATTTTGGCATTACCTGATTGGAGCAGCCTGCCCCAGATACCATCTTTTCTATACTTTTTTTTTTTTCTTTTTGTGTATAACCATTCCCCTCAGATGAAACATCTCATTTTTCATTTCAGTCTTGTTTCTCAGTCTTTATTTGCTGTCTGTAGGCTGTGCTCTAAACTGCAGAATGTTTTAAAATAGATAAAATAATAATGAAATAAAGAACAGAGGTGAGAAGGTTAAGGCATATGGTAACGAAGAATGCCAAATATGCAGAATCATCCAAGAAAATATTGTTTCATTAGAAAAAAAAAATGATGGAAACCTGGAAAATTTCAGAGAAAATGGAAGAGTTGTCTTGAAAGTCTGCTAGCTGGAAGATGCATTTCTGTTGAGGCGGATTTGGATAGCGATTTGTCCAGCACCCACAGTCCTGTGGCTGGGCTGGGTTCCTGCTGCGAAGCCGGAGGCTGCGTGTGGGAGCATCTCAAGACCTCCCGGAGCTTTACAAGGGTGAGTCAAAACTTCTAGCCAGCATTCGGCATCTGCTGTAGTTTCTAAGAAGACAGGGAGTGCACTCAGCTGCCTGCCAAAAATGACCTCAGCGCTCTCTGCTGGGGACCTCGGAAAGAGAGACGGAGTTACGATCTACTCATGGTCTCCTGTCTCGTCCCCTTGGCCCCCAAGGCAAACATTCGGCCACCCGTGGGCGGCTCTAAGTCGTTAGGCCTGATAGTGGCAACAAAGCGATCTCTCTCCCCCCTATTTGTTTTTCTTTTATTTATTTAGGATAAATGTACCTAAAGGTAAGGCATGCTGATACGTGGCTTACTTTTAATAATCGAGAGCCTTTGAGGTACATGGGACTCCTCATGCCAGAACCTTTTTACTTTTTTTTTGATTTTCGTATTTGAGCATCTCCTAATGCTGTATGCTTAGGGATGGTTTATATTTAGTGCTTGTGATCTTGCCAGCCAAATGGCAAAATGCAACAAAATCTGAAACAGCCCTCAGCAGAACCATCAGAAAGCTGTCCGAGGGGATCAAGCCTACGCAGAGGAAATGCTTCGTGAGCAAACTCGAGAGTCACTGCATTTGCTCGTCTGCACAACTGCATCTTCTTTCTTCACACTGCTAGGGCCAAAGACGTCAGGATTGCAACAGAGCCTCTGTCTCCAGCCAGTAAAACAAATCACACGTTCTCTGTGGGAAATATCATACGCAATTGCCCTCTAATTCTGTCACAGCTCCTGTTTCAGCAATGCCAAGAAAATGCCTCATGCTTGACGTGGAAGATGTTGGAGATTTGAAGCGTGGTTGAGAAGGAATTACCTTCTTTCCTAAATGTTGTTCAAGCTTACTAGCATCTTATTCCAATTTGCTGAGATTGACGTAAAAATGAACACTGTATTACCTGGGACAACACGACTGTCGTGTGTGAAGGAAAACGCATCCGTCAGTCAGGATGAGTCGAGGCTTTTCTAGCTTATTTTCTGACCACAGTTTTGTTCTGCAGAACACGATGACATGACCACAAGTAATATTCTGGTGGTTTTATTAACAAGTATAATACATATGTATTGTATCCTAAATATAGAACGAGGACTGTACAGTACAAATTTATGTTCACAGTTTGACATGACAAAATGTCATTACTGAATTCCCATTGGACTACCAAAGTAGAAACAGTGAAAGTACATTAAACATTCACATCTTTAGTAAGAAAGATTACCAAAATGTCTCTGTATTTGCAAGTTATAGTAATGCACGCTAGAAACCTTTAATTACCCATTCAGTCTTATTAGCTTATAAAATATATTACATTTTATTAAAAAATTTCTGCATAGTTTATACAAGTATTAAAGTAAATATAACATTTCCTGCTACACTTGCAGGTCAGAGATGCTAAGCCGAAAGATTATTTTGACCCTCTAACATTTAAAGTATATAAATAGCAGAAAAGTGCTAATATCTGTAAAATATAATGAAAACTGGTGTAGCATTCAAGATATGTAAAAATGCTTTGTAATTTTTATAGAAAGGATTTGAAATCATGTACATGTTGCTAACCTTGACAGAGACAAAAACCCAGGCAACATATTTAAACAATCTGTGGCATTAGAAATACCACAACAGAAATGCAGTATATATTTAAATAAAACCCCACGTGGTGATACCTGTTTAACTTTGTTGGATTGCCTTAGAAATTTGGAAGTCATCATAATCAAATGGCTTTAACAGGCACATTTTAGTTAAACATAATCTGTTAGACACTGCACAGTGCAAAACTGCTAGTGAAAAAGGCTTTTTTTCTGTTTTAAATATATACCTTCTGCAGGATTAGTTTTGTGTATTTTTATGTCTAAACTGCCTTCTCTTAAGGTCAAAGAGGGAAAGACTGGCTCTTTTTTTAGGTACTTCCTTAGTTTTATACATATAAAAATTTCAAGATACGCCTCAAATTGAAGTTTGCTCAAATGAGTCGATGACCTGAAGATGTAAATTCACATTTTCAACTGAAAGATGAAAACATTTTTCATGGTTTCTGACATCTCATTAAAACACACCGTAGACACAAGCAAAAAAATCCTATAAACAAGGCATTTACATTGAATAATCTTAAATTTGATACTAAATATTTAGATTGGTGCTGTCCTAAATCACAAGGCACATGGCTAAAGATATTTTTAAAATCTTTTGCACCTCCACTATGTTTGGCCCTACAAGTGTTACAAATATTTTCAACAAAACAGTACATAGCTAATAAGGGAAGATGGCAAGTATCCTAGATTTAATTCTCCAGAGTAACTCTTAGTTACAAAGAGTTATGGAGTTACAAAGATTACCAAGATCTGCCATTAAGGTACTTGATCCTAGATTTCTAGTTAAAAAAGAAAAAAAAAGGAAAAAAAGAAAAAAGAAAAAAGACAGTACTAAACATCTTAGGAAAGCCCTGAAAGAGAAAGAACATTTGAAACAAATGCTGCTTAAACATCCCAAATTTTGTGTGCTTAGATTTGTTAAGTTCAAAAATGGGTTCAGTTGTCCGTGATTTGCCGATCTGCGTAGCTCTCCTCTGCCTTTTTCACCTAGAATATAAAATTAAGGCCTGTTTTCATCTCCGGGTACCAACTATCCCTAGGCTCTGAGTGACGCTATAAAAGCTCCACACAGCCCTGTCAGTCAATGACACTTATGGAGCTATGATTAACATCTGAAGTGTAATAAAGAAGACCAATTTGGCTTGACATTATATTGCTAGTGTTTAAAATAAAAATTACAAATCATCACAAAATTACAAAACAACAAAACCCCCTTCTCAGGCATTTGCTCATTTATTTAATACTCTTTCCTGGAAGTTTATCACTGTTAGTACCAAACCAGACAATCAAAAAAGACCTATGGCTTTTCCATTTTTTTCAGTTCCATAAACCAACAGGTTAGGGTGAGTTACAAGAACATAAACATGGTGCAACGTCACTTGATTCTGGTGAAGTCACTGGGACTTACGGAGGTGCGGTAGTGCACGTGGCCCTTTCCCACAAAAGCTTTGCAGAAGATTCCAAGCACAGCTTTGCAAGTTCCCATTTGCCTCTTACGGAGTGTTAAGTAAAGGGCCAACCTAGTCCTTAGATAAAATTGTCAGTTTGATCTCCATATATAAGCATTTGTTACAGAATTTGAGCAATACTTTGTACATTACAACAGCCCCTGACTAGACAATTTTCTCCAAGGAGCACAGGTCCTGCCTTTCTCTACTGCCACAGGCCAGCGGATGCAAACAGGCTGGCTGGGAAACACCACCAGCAAGGCAGCAAACGTGGAAAGGCTCTTCCCGTGCCCGCTCCTGCATCTGCAGGTTATTTCAGCCCAGAGCAACCTCTTCCACATGCGCCTGCAGCAGCAGGCTCGCCCCGGCTGCCTCCTCTCGCAGGGTTTGGAACGCTCTGCTCCACCCACCTCCGCCCCTTTTCCAGTATTCTTTTTTTTTTCCCCAAGAAAGAGAAGAATCTGGCTATGGCATCTTTTGATCTGCAGGGAATGGTGTTTACCTGATGCAGGGAGAAGAACAAAACCTCAGTGGTGTGCAAGAGCCTAGACAAATACATCCCATTTTCTTGTGCTGCCACCAAATCTGCCAGCTAACGAAGACAGAAACTTCCTCCTCTGTGGGCTCCAAAGGCCAGAATATTTCTAGGGCCAACTGCAGGTTGCTTGAATTCGGTTTATTTATGTTTTATCTCTTGAGTTGCACTTGTTAATTGACATGGGATTTATGACTTGCTGATGTGACATTTTAATGCAAGACACATGCGAAGGAAGGCTCAGTCCAACACTGAGACACTGACAAGGTCACAAACCAAGAGGTATCAAATGGACGGTTTGGTACAAGCCTTTTTTTTCCTTTCCTTTTTTTTTTTTTTTTTTACCCAAAACAGATACATGACTTAGTTTCTCATTAGAAGTGCTTCGTATTTTATGCCATCTTATCATAAAAATATTGTGAATTAATAACTTTAAATACTGTAGTGTACTAAAGTGGCACTCGCACCAATACACTTGAGAGCATTTTTGATATGACAACTGCTATTTTTGAGGTATGGCAAAGAGAAAAAAAAATACTTAGAGTACAGGAAATGTAGGGGAGTGATTATAGAGGGATAGTCTATATCCCTGAAATGAGGTGTGGTAGGTTTCTATGAATATAATTTAATGCCATGTTATAGGAAAGTACCGTGTGTGTTCCATCCGTACAGTCACACAACAAACAGACAGAAAGTGTCACACGAGGTCTTCATTTAACAAATCCACCAGGGCGCTATGCAGTAAAGACAAGGTTATATACTACACTATAATACAGAGGACAGAGGAGATTGGTTTAACCATACAACTCTATGTATAGCTCAATTTCTGTTGATTTTTCTTCTTGACTGAGGTAAGCAATACTAGGATTCAATTATACTTTCGGCAAAGTAATTATGCTGATTAGATGAATTTTACCTAGGATTTCCAAATCAGGTGTCTTTCTATAACTATATTAACCATACTGCAGAAACCAATGAGGTTGGGAGCATCCATTCATTGCATTGTTGAGCATAAAATGAGAGTGCATCCTCTACGGGGTACATAAATAAAGTCTCTGGCAAGGTCTAGCATTCTGGATATTCAATAATATTTACTACTTTATCAGTATATGCTGGGTTGATTATGTGAAGAAACCAACAAAAGCTGTTAGTTCACAACTTCCCTTATTTGCAAAGGAATACATTAAACATACTGTCTGCTGAAAGGGTTTGCTTAGCATCCCCAGGAGAGAGAGAAAAAAAAAGTGTTCACATTCTTTAGGTCTGACCCGTGGCAAGGACATAGAAGGGTTAGATAAAATCTCTTACTGACCATATGTAAGCTTTAATGGTATAAACTCAGAGATTCAGGCCAGCTGAATCCACATTAAAATGCACATATAAAAAAAAAAAAGTGATGGGAGGCAGGACAGAAGACAGTCAGACAAGCATGTGGCGTTTTCTGTGAAGAGCAAGATGGTCCGAACGTGAAAAGCTACGGTCACAGTCTGGGCATTGAAAAGGTTTGATTCCGGTATGCTTGCGGAAATGCCGTGTTAGTTCATCAGAACGAGCAAACTTCCATGTGCATCCCTCCCAAGTGCATTTGTATGGTTTTTCACCTAGAAAAAGAAACACAGGATTGGGGGCTTAAGGCAGGAACATATCCATAATTTAACAAAGTTATCCCATTGTCTTCTCCAATTCCAGTTAGTTCTTTCATGCTTACCCAAAAAACCTTCAACCAGCACGGTGCTGTGGAGTGCTCTGCAGTGTGCAGTCAAAATTCACAGATCAAAAAATTGTTTCCTGTCACAACTTCATCTTGTTATTGTCTCTCTGTTCCTCCCTTTGCCATATTAGCACTTGTTTTGTCTCATCAAGCCCAGCAGTGCAAAGGTTTAAACATTTGTTCAAGTATTTTCAAAAACAGAACCTCATATTGCAAATTACTTGGGGAAAAAGGGCTGTTTCTACCATTCAACACAGCAGGCTGACAACTGCCTCTGACCTCTTAAAGTTACCCTAGTAAATATAAACGGTACCACTATCACAAGTAGTTCAAATTAAAATCTCTCTCAATAATTATTTTCTAACATGTGATCCTCATTCTCATTGAGCTGCCAGTCAGGTGAAGGGCTGGCTTGTGTACAGATGTGACAGAGGTAGGAACTGAACTTAATTTTACCTAGAAGTATCTCGTGTCTTTGTAAAAATCTAGGATATACACGCATACACATGTGTGTGGATTCATAAATATACACACATACATACTGCATGTGAAGGTGAACATACCTGCAGAATAGAGATGGGGAGATCCTTTTTGTAGCGCTTGCTGAGCAAAGAGCACTAAGAAAAGCACTCAGAAAATGGCACTATCAGACCAATGGTTAGCTTGTCTGCAAGGCCTGACCTGTTTATATTTGGCACACGGTCCAGACTTTTGTAAACGGGCTACTCCCATGGAAGTCTCACTCAAATTTCAGAGTGATTTAAGTACTGAGGTCCTGCAGTTTGACTAACTTGGTGTTTTCAGGGTGTACAGAGTAATCTGCAAGTAAGCGGAAAGAAAAAGAGCAAAGAGCCAGTACATGCAGAGCATACCAGCATGCACCACGACCCTGCTTTGGCTCAAAATCTCTTGCTGTGGGCTCTTCCTGCTGCATCTTCTTTCTTTCTCCTGGCCTACAATTATACCCAGAACACTGCCACATCTAATATATGCCATTTTATTATTTAATCCTGTGGCAATCCATTGACCAGCACAAACTAAAAGCTTAGTCTACACTTTTGACCATATAGACTTGATGAGAGACAAGCAGAGCAGTGCTCAAACCTGTGTGCGTTCTTCTGTGAGCCTTCAGGTGGGAGCTCTTAGTGTAGACCTTGTTGCAGCCTTCGTAGTCACACCGGTGTATCCTGCGTTTCCTTTGTGTGTCTGGCGATTCCACAGGTAAAGGTCTCTTTCCCGGCTGCACAATAACTGAAGGGTGATTCCTGTGAAGTCAGATTGAATGTTAAAATTGAAAAATATTTTGCACAGCAAACCTCAGCTAAGATGACTCATGACAGAGCCCTTTATTCACCACCACTGTCTCTTGGCAGAAAGAACAACATTACACGCGTGTCGAAAAATTCAAGAGGGCTTAGCAAGTTTCATGGACCGTAGCAGTCATGTTTTTAAATGTTTACTCACTTTGTGGCACGATACAGCCAGTTTTACTGATTGCGAGGTTCGGCATCATTTTTTTAAACTTAACAGGAGGAGAAAATTAAAAAAAACCCTCCAATTCTTGTTTCTCGGGCAAACCTAGGTCTCCCAAACGAATCGGTCTGTAATTGGAAACAGCCTTCCCGTGCTATGCAAGAAAGCGTATCCGGAGGCCGCGCTGGATCGTTGTTGTTCCAGCCGCTCCTCCTGCAGCGATCGAGCGTTTCCTGTGTGGGGCTGGCGCAGGGTGCGGCCGGCGGCGCGGCTGGGCAGCTCGTGAGGCGCGCCCAGCCCGCACACCACCCACAGGATGTCTGCGCCCGCGCTCGCCTCCACAAACAGCCCTCCCGCGCCCAGCCGCAGGTGCCGCGCAGGTACGACACCTTCGCGAGCGGCTGCAGGTGAGCAGCAAAAACCCCTGCGTCCACGCGCGTGGAAACGCAGGCGGCCATTGAGGAGGTGCCAGCAATGGGCCGTTTAGGTTCACGCAGTGCCCAGGCTTCAGAACTGGGTATAACCTCGACTCTTTCTTCACTGTCCATGTTAGGAAAAGGAAGCAAAGAGGTTTTTCAAAAACCTAAGAGGCATTACAAATCGGACAGCTTCACAAAGTAATACCTTTCAACTGACTGTCAGGTTTTTATTAGCACTTTTTGATATCTTTTAGCTTTTAGCTGAAATATGATATACGCAGGTATTAGCAATCCCTGTTGAAAAACAGCTCTTCCATCTTGACAGAAATAAATCCTCTAGAATTCTAGTCTTTTCTCAGTTGCCCTATTTCACATTTCTTATAGATCCAATTAAATTTAGGGACACAAGAGTTTTAACTGAAGCAAGTTCCTTTAGGACCTGCTTTTCGGCAATGTTCAATGCCTACTCCTCTCAACAAAACCAAGGGCGTGTACTCAAGGTCCTTTGGTTTGAAAGAAGCAGGCTTATCAGGCACAACAAAGAACATCTCATGTACGATTTAACCAGAAAAATACCCTCAATTACACTTCACAGCAGCACTGCGGAACTTACTGATGTTGGAAAAGTTTCTTTCTGCTATTCGGTTATTCATTCTCTTATCAGAGTTACAAGTCTCAAATTTTTTCTTAGATTTTCTCTGACTGTTGAATGACGGTAGGTATGTACTCTTCAAGCACATATTAAATATAGCTAAAAATACTGTAATGGCAGGAAATCAAAGACAGTGACATATGTATACGTATTCTTAAATAAGCAAGGCAGTCTTTTAGCTTCTAAAGAAAATGCCTCTCTCAGGCAGTGCTCGGCTGTAAATTTGCTGCATACTACTCTGTCTCTTGGGGCAACCAGAGCCAGCCTAGGTTTTGGCCTCTACATATGGAGGCTTATTCTGGAGACAGGAACTTCTGGAAAAATGGAGAAAAGGAATATTAGCACTATTCTACTTGTGACGGCTTTTGGCCTAAGGACACGTCAATAAGGTACTCAGAATTCATCTCCATCTCATCTTCCCTTTAGAGGAAAGGTGGTTTGTAAGACTACAGAATCTTACCAACGATCAGATAGGAGGTGACAGCTTAAAAAAAAAAAGAATAAAAGATAAGCTTATGCCAAAAATTAGAATATACGACCCCAAAATAAGTTTATCCATTACTCATTATAGTTCCATTACTTCTCACAGAACTCAATACAAATTCATGACAGTGTAACCATGTGAGCATCATTTTAAAAAGAAGGAAACATATCTTCCAAAAATCATATTACAATTTACATAAGCAACCTGCCCGCTTCCTTTACCAATACACCCTACTATGTTGGCATCATAAGCATGACTTAGACTTACACTCGCACGGACACATAATATTAAAGATGCTTACTACCTAAAATTTCCTTAAAAAAAAATCTGCATAGTTATGTCAATTATTAGCCATGTCAGAAAGCCCAGCAAGAATTCCTACAGAAATGCCATCAACACTATATATGTGATGTGTATATCAAAAACTGATTCAAGTTTACTATCAGTCGCTTAAAAGTGAGACTTTTCTGTATGCCTCCTTCATGTGGCTTAATGTGTTTCAATAGTGTACTTTGGGCAGCAGGAACCTATGGAAAATGATAAAAGGAAACATTCCATAACTAAGGCTCACCATGCAGAAACAAGGGTTTGATGAAACTGTGAGACAACAGGAAATGTTTCCAAACTTTAAGCTTCCAATTGAATAATCTAGTGTTTTTTTAGATGATGAAAAGGTAAAACTTTCCATCTACAGTCTGCCTGTCGTAGATCAACGGCAGATGCAAAGGGCTCACTTTAGGAAAGAGCAGGAAGAGCTCTCCAGGTCAGCTAGAAAACATCAGAAGTCATTTCAATGGGACGGCAGCATCTCCAGAAATGTGACACCCAGAAGAGAAGATGCTTGGGAAAGATGGCCCACTCAAAGGTTTTTGTAGCAATGCTGCTACAAGATAGATCAAATGTTGTGCTCCTCACTCCATGAAGGGGTTTCCTGTGGAAAATGGACTCACTGGGAAATAGCTGAGGCAAATCACCAACGCAGGTGGTGCCTGTGCAAGCCTCAGCCCCGGAGGAAGGGTGTGGTGTAAGCGTGAACAGCACTTACTGGTTTGCTCCTGCTACAGAGGCCTAACAAAGAACAAAAGTAAACTGCAGCGCTGCATAGCCCTGACCTGGGAGAAGGCAGTTCAAGCACAGACCAACCCGACTGCTGTATGTGGCAGCAGGTCCATTACAGAAGATAAGCAATCAGCCTAGTAAACACAGAGACTTACTAATTTATTGTATGTTTATTGTACTAAAGCATGTAAGGTTATTTTTAAATAAACAGCATTCTGCTTTATGAAAGCGAGCTGGCCAGCAGTTAACTCTGGTGTTTTCTGCAAGAGGCAGGAAAGGTGCGAGTACTGCACTCAATGCAGGAACAGGGGATTGCAAGGAGACTGCAGCCTGGCATCGTGTGCACCCTGGCTGGACATGTGAAGACCAGGGGGCTCCCTACGAGAGGGCCATGGACTCTGCTGGGCAGTGCCCCTGGTCACGCAGAGACGATGTGGGCAGGAGGAGAGGGCTCCCTTTGGAAGGAAGCAGCACTGCCAGCCCCACGCTCCTCTGTCTGAACAGTTCTGTGCTCCCACACTCACACGCTGGCCTGGGGTCCTTCTTCCCCACCCCAGGAGGTGAGGCCCATGTCGCCGCTCCGAAGGAGCTGCTCCATTGGGCTGTGGAGGGCAGTGCCTGCTGCTTGGGCAGGACCATAGGCTGGACGCCAGGCCATTCTGTGACTTTGGCAGAAAATTTCAGAATTGTCCCTAAGAAATCAGGAAATGGAGGGGTGGCCGTGGTTCCTTAGGTATTCCTGAGATATTCTTACTTCTGCCAGTTCCAGTAATTTCTTGCTTCTTGTTCCTTATCCTTGCTCTGCCTTCTGCAAATAGGACTGTTTGAACCCTGATTAGTTCTGCTATCCCATTCATGAAGCAGCTCCAGTAACAGTTGTGCCAGAGCAGATGAGTTGGTCCTGGGAGTGGAAACAAGGGGATGGGGAGGAGAGAGAGCTGCAGAAACTAGTTAAGTTGCCAAAAGAAACATCCATGGAACAGTGGTCTCTGGTAAATATGAAATTTCACTGATTATACAAAGAACTTGTAGGCCTGAAGGATTTCTTTCCACTGAGTAGCCAAGGCTTATTAAAAGACAGAGCAGTCCTCCAAGAGAAAGAAAAGTCACAAGAATATATTTTTTAAAAATATTTCAAGAGACAAAAATAGAGATAGCGGTATGAAATGGGCTTGCAATATTTTTCCAACTTGCTCTTGTTTTTTCATAAAGAGGTAGCACTGGCTTTTTTGGTGTGTATTTTGTCACATGTTCTAAACCACAGCAATTCTCCCTTCCCTCCAAAATCAGTAGCCGCCCCCTGCCCAGTGAACTTCATTTCACTCCTCTGCTGATTTTGGAACTGTCATTGACTACTTACTCTTGCAACATAACTTGCTGGGGAGACAACGAGGTCATCACAGGAGGTGATATTTGTTCAGGATAGAAGTCAGTCTTGGATGGTTCACTTCCTGGTTCTACTTTAATTGCTTTCTTCAGTGCAGGTTTTTCAAATGACTCAATGACAGGCACTATTGCGGGGACGGTAAGAGAGGGAAGGCAAGAGATGAAAAACACTGCATTGTGTAAATAAAGAATATGGGTAAAAATCTAGAGTTAAAGCCAAAAGATCCCCCAGCCACTTTATATTTAGCGCCATAACATATATTAAAACACAAAGCCTCCCAATCTCCTGATGAATTAGAATTCCAATTCTCATCTTCATCACTTCAAATCTCAGGAGGGCTCCTAACCCGCACAGCTTTACACAGGTACAAACTAGAATAAAATCTGGTATGTCTGGGGAAATACTCACATAGCAAGTTATATGCACGCATATTTTAGAAGGACTAAAAGGAATCAGGCTTCCTTTCCCTAAAATGTTGAAGAACTCACCAGGGGGGGCCCGAATATAGCTGTTTTGGTAGAAGGCAGCTCCGCTGGTACCCACCTGGCACGCTGGTGGGGCTCTCCATCTCCTCTGGCAGCACTGTGGACACCATGATGGGCTGCTGGAGGTGGGGCGCGTACATGAAGGGCACGGGCTGCACCACGACGGGCTGGATGACCGGGAGCAGCCCGGGGCTGCGCAGGCCGTGGCGTGACAGCGCGGCGGCCATGACGGGCGGGATGGTTATGGGCATGGAAATGGGCTGCACTCCCGGGGGCGACGGCGTGAATTTGCTGATGGGGGAGCTGGGGGTGGACAGCGCCAGTGCCGGGGACGCTCTCCTGTGCACAGGTGGGAACTTGAGTGGGGACGGAGAGCTCGCCGTGGAGGGCGGCGAGCTCCGCTTGTTCACTGTGAGGTCCACCGGCTCCACCTGGATCCCGTTCGAGAGTCCGTCAGCGCCGGGGTAGAACTTGCTGTGCAACATGCCCGGTGTAGAATAAATGACGCTGTATTTGTTTGGCTTTATTTGGTCCATGTAATTGGATGGGTATGACTGTGAGAAGGAGAGGAAATGGGGGAAAAAAATCATCAACACAGCACACACACACACACACACAAGTGCATGGCAGTTAGTAAAACTGAGGCAAAAATAAAGATTTCCAGAAGGCATTTTAATGTGCTTTTAAAACAAAAGCATATTAAATAAAGGGCAATATTTTTCATAAAGTTATTCAAGTGCTGATATTTCAGAATATCAGAATATGCCTCAAGGCATATTCAACTCTTTCTTCTTTAAAGAAGTGTTTTTCATTAAGCTGCACATATCTAACTAACGTGATGGATACATCGTACTACCCCCCAGTACAAAAGTACCAACTGAAATCAAGCAAGACACCAATAAACTGGACCTAGAACTGCAGGTAGCGAATCTCAATCAGCTGAACAGGTAATTAATTGGTCAAGTGATCAGGTGATGAAGTAATTGTAAACCAAACTTCACAACCTTCACTAGAACAGGAAATTACATATCTGAGCTCTATGAGCAGTAAAAAATATAAAACTGAACTAATTAAACAGTAGGTGAGTAAGAAAAAAAAAAGGTACAACAGTTAAATGCTACATTTATTTTTCTGGAGAAAGGTAATAAAAGGTAACTATGCACAGTCTGGCTTTGGAAAACTGAGCAACCTAGTCGAGAGAAAAAAGATCTGGCATGCTGGATAAATATTACCATCAATTAGTGGTAGTTAGCAATTCTCATTACAAGATCACTCAAAGCCCAAAGCTAATCTTAACCTAAATGATGATGACCCTATTTTAGTAAAATTATTTTCTGAAAACCAAGAAATATTAGCATATGTTGCAGAGTGTATGATTAAAGCACTACCCAAATCACCTTTGCATTTAAAAGAGATTTTAAATACCTTACTAACAGATAACTTACTTAGAAGATGCTAGGCTCATCTAACATAGTAGAAGGATGTGGTGTGCACAACCAACTCTGTTTTTAGCCCCTAGACCTTGTAAATTTTATGAAATAAAACACTGTCTTTGTATCCTGAGTAAAGCCTCACACTAAGGCTAAACATTTTCCTGCCAACAAAGGCATCTTAATTCTTTAGCACTAAACAGATCCAAGAAAATGGGATAAAATATCTTCAAGATTTGGTTTCAGAGACAAAGGTTGGAAGCATTAAACTATTACACTTTTAAACAATCACTTCCATTACATTTCTAAATGCAAAAATGGCACTTAGAAGAGAACTATGTGGACTATGTGGATAGTAATAAAGCTTTTCTTAAAATTATTTCTTCCAATATTAATTATGACATTAAAAACACTGAAATTTTATTTAATGTATCTTCTTTGGACTGTTGTTGCAAATTCAATCAGTAAAAAAATCTAGCTTTTTTTTGGCAATTGGTTATTCAGAATTCTACTGAAACGGCTTTATTGCAAGCAATCCTGAGTGAAATGCAAGACAAGTTGCAGGAACTCTCCAGCACTAATGAGCCAAGCGATAATGAGAATTATTAGGAATTCAAGAGATCAAAGTTACTGGATATTGATACAGTTTAATATTTAACATTTAATATTTAACAGTATCTAATATCTACTAAACCTGAGCCAAGTTACGGGTGTAAGCAGAAATTCAAACACCAAATGCATTGGAGATACTGAGCACCTCTGTCAGAACTGCCGTTATTGGTCTGGAGTACAAAGTCTACTGAGCTCCAGCAAACCGTGCAAGCCTCCCGCAGCACAACTGAGCACTGGTGTCTCTGCAATTTTGCAAGTTTGTCAGGGATGGTCACCAGGTCACTATATACAAACATTTCTTTCATTTTGTGAGGCATGCCCTGGTGTTGGTGAATGTGCACTTTTCATCCAACTGAAGTGCTCTTATATTCAAATAAAAGTTACCTGAAAATAATAACACTGATGCTCTTTAAATATTTTTTAGGGTATCACAGCCTGCAAGATTCATGCACAACCAGGGCCTTAAAAAATCTTGCACTTTTTAACAAGTTTGGTCTTCTGAAAACTACTGTTAGAAAGAAGAAGAGCAGAAAAGACTACAAAATCTGAATCTCCAGGAACATCTTCAGTAAACTCATTCTGCTAAATAAAGAAGTATCTGCTAGCTGCACCCTTACTATTAAAAGTTATCCTCTTTCAAATCTTCCATTAACATTAAACTTGTGTTAGATACTTATCAACCTATTAAAATGTTGTACAAAAAATCCAAGTAAAATAAATTTAGACAAGCAAGAAACTATTTTCAAGAATTAAGAAGAAAACAATTATGTTTATAAAAAGTGAGTATCTTAGGGACCTGATATTACCCCATATGTCTTGCATTATTTTGCATAAAAGGTTCTCATTGCAGCTAAGTTGGCACAAATTTAACACACATCAGCTGTTTTTTATTGTAGTTTGCAAAAGCTAAATCATTATTCCAAGCTTTTTTTCCTTCTGAGATTTTAACTGTCATGTTTCTGTTTGAACTGCAGATAGCAAGTCATGATTATAAAAATAGGGCCACAAGTTATTTTCTTTACAGGAATAAATACGAAAAGTTTATAATCTGAGCTGGCAGGAAGACCACCTCCCTGCATTTCTGTGAACAGGCCTCTTGCATTTCTGTGAACAGAGAGGGGAAAAAAAAAAGGAATTTCTGGAATTGATTTGTGCATGTTGTTATTATTATTATTAGGTATTGGTATTGGGCCAAAAATGGTGAAAAAGATTCAAAGGAAAGGAGCTGTCACCAGCAACGTGACAGATGAAACAATCTGCCTGCTGGGTGGAGTGCCCTTTTGCTTCACCATCAGTGAAGGGTGGCTGAAACCCTCTCTTAGTTTGGAACAAGCCACTTGTATCTCACCAACCCTGTGATTAAGCTTCCTGTGTCTTTTGGTACAGCAAAGCTTCGCTATCCATCTCCCTGGGCGATGGAGCAGTCGCCATTCGGTTGATAGGTAGCCCCCATCTGCAACACTATGAAGTATCTGACATTAGCAATACTAACATATGAATAAGCTAACATTTAATGCTGATTAGAAGCATTTGGGTGAAACAATGCAAATTAGCTATTGTTGCTCTGTTTGCTCGAAATATTTAAGCTGACACATTTCCCTTTAGCATCTACTGTGGGAATTTGCACTGTATATAGAGTTTGGTCTGACTTGGTTTAAAAAAAATTTCCCAATCTCCTGTAACTTCTTCTTTGATGAAAAATCTCTGTGCATACCAGGATGTCACAGCAGTAAATCATTATAAGGGTGCAGGATTGTATTTCAGTATGTATTTCTGTGCAGTCTACAACTGGGCCTTACCAAACAATTCATTTCCTTTTCCCTACTGTTTGTCTAGAATAAAATCTCCAGCACTGAAACCACAAAGAGACTGGAAAATAAATTCAAGCAACTTCTGTTATTTTTGAGGCATCTTTTGAAAACATGCGGGTGTTTCACACAATTAAATTCATAGTTCAGGAAAGAGAAGGAATCACCATACTTTTCCTCTTGACAATCTGTCAAGAATAAAGACTGGCCATATATGTGAAAAACAAACCTTTCACTACTTTGGCTAACCAAAAGACTGCTGCTTCCATAAGGTAACATTACAAGGCACTGAGGAAGCACCAATCTGATTTAATTCTAATTTGCTAAATTTTGTTAAATCTACCACAGTGAAACACCTTTTTTGTTTGTTTTACAGCCTAGCATATTTTGAAACAATTATTCAAGACTTTTATCAACTATCAAACCCAAAGCCTTTAACTTTAAAAGTCTAACTACTGTCTTGCAAAAACAGACAATGATGCAGTTTACCTACTTATACAAGTTGTCAAATCAGTATCATACTAGAGAATGAGCAGGATTTAACTCATGTAGTAAACAGATGAACAAGTCATTCTCACATGAAATTCATATTCTAGTTGTGTTAGTGACTCACCGTCTCAGGTAGCACGTACCACTTTGCCTTAAAAATGGGTGAAGGAAACAGTTTGGGGGACCGACTGAAGGGAAGCAAAAACCCTGCTTACTTCAATTCATGAAGAAAGGTAACAGCACATTAAAAAACAGCTTCTGTCATGGCATGGTCACTTCTACTCATCTCAATTTTTAAAATGCTCACAGTGAATCCTTAGGTAGGACTGAGATGACTATTTCTTTAGGAACTATCATAAAATATACTTGATAGTTCGATTTGATAAATAGAATGAGCTGTTGGTAGAGTGATGAAATACCCTATGTGCAAGCTTCAGTCACATGAGAAGTGTATTTAATCCTTTCAGCCACACACCCTGAAACGTAGTGGCGTCAAAACTATAATTTGTTTGCGTCTCCCACTCCAACCAGTTGGGTTTTTTTAGAGACAAGTATTGTACCTACAGTCTATGCTCATAGAGTTTATTATTGAAACAAGTCAAATAATTAACCATTCCTAACAAGCTTTATTTTGTTCGATCTCTATTGATATTCTCAAAATGACAGATACAATACAAATAAATCCTGATTTTAAAAGGCTTAGAGTGATGTCAGTCCACAGCGATGCTCAGCACCTCCAAAAAGAAGTCATACTGATGACTCCTCAAGAGAAGGTCACGAAAACTAACAGCCTGGGTGACTGTTACCCTTTGCCATCTTCTCCCCATCCTGAGACCTGCTCCCTTCCTTTAAAGGTGTTTGCAGAGCAGCTTTGGCTGAGTGGTCCTCGGCAGCCAGGCCCCGAGGAAACCACCCACCCTCCTGGGAGGTGCAAGGAGGCCAGGACCCCAAGGGCTTGGGGTGAAACAACCAGTGCAGGAGCAGAGTAAAATGCTCTGCATAGTCTCTAGTGGCTAGTAAGTGGCCTAGGATATGCAAGGTATCTCCACAGGTCCAAAGCATGGAAGGTGCTACACAGCCACATGTAGCACCTGGCATGTGCAACTCCTCCTTCATCCTCCCCGCTGGGGCAGGGCCTGTTGGTGCCTTCCCTGGCCGTCCTGCAGGAGGACTGACCCTAACCGTTTTGCACACACATATGGCTGTCTGGAGCTGGATCCTGACCTTGCGTGCACCGTGCCCAGCCACCGCAGAGCCTCCGTCGGGAGCTGGCGGTGGATGCGCACAAAGGACAGCTCACGGAGTCTCTGCAGCCATTCTCTGTCATTAGTGTAATGACAGCTCCTTTACTGGGGATGTGGCCTATTTTCTGCCTTTGACAAAAACAATTAAATATCCTTAAATAATCTTAGGTAATCACTGTTTACCTTAATAAGAAGCTGCAACAATTATGATTGATAGGACAAGCAGACTGACCAATGCCAATGTACCTTCCTGCTTGATAAAGCGTCAACACACGTCCTCAGAAGAAATAAGGAAACCTCATGCAAATCAAATTGTAATTTATGATTTATATAAAATTTAGCCATGATCACATGCTCTTAACAGCACCAGAGAGATATGACTGTTTACAGACACATTTAACTTTATGGCAATTATTCTACATTTTAAATAACCACGCAGCAAAACTTCCACTGAAAGATGAGTTCATAGCATGAATATAATGCACTCTAATCTATGCACAATGACTCCACAATATTAATGGCTGAGCCTTTCTACAGGTGTGGTTTCACGTTACCCGTAATCTGACCTAATTGCAGGCTACCCCTGAGATGGGAGGTCCTGTTCCCTCTCCCTTCCCCCTGCCATTGCTTTAGGTTGAGGAGCTGCAGAACAAGTCAGATCAGCTTCCTGATCTGACAAAAATAGTGTTTTTTTTTTCCTAGTGGGTTACCTGTATTGACCACTCAATGAGCTGATGCAAACGCCCCAGGTCATTCTGCCTGCAAACCATGGCTAGACCTCAGGCAAAGGACATGGTGGGAGCACAAAGCTGGGTGGGAAGGAGGAGAACCAGAATCTCTCCTTTTTGGGAAGCTGCACAGAGGAAGCACAGGTGGGACACCTGTCCCCTCAGGCAGTGCTTCCCCGGCAGCACAGACCAAAGCAGTTCTCACTCTTGCTTATCAGACTCTTTGCTGAGCTGACCCTGAGCACCAATCAATAAAAATTAACACAATAAAAAAAAAAAAGTCTACCTTCCTCTTTTCTCCCCTCATTCCTCCTCCACTGCCTTGCTTCTCCCAGGGTAAGGCAATTTAATTAGCTTACCTGGAGAAGGTACCTGCTTCGCCGGTTGCAAGGGTGAGGAATACCTAGGCGCTCTCCCCCCGCTCTGAGGATGGGAGCAGTAGCAGGAAGGACAGGGCATATCCTCTAGGGACAGTGAATTCATAAACTACTAAAAATGGCTGCCTAGAATGTGACTCTGATGGCCCTAAAAGCAAAATGTAGCTTCGTGGCAGCTCCTGAAGTAGGTCAATACCTACAAAAATCTTGGCACAAACTTAAAGGTGGAAAATTATAGCATAATCACAATGGTTAAAATATCTTAAAAGTCTTACCACTGAAACAGGTTCCATGGCCTCTTGCTTGATAGGGACTGGGTCAAACATTAGCATCTTTTTTATTTGGCTTTCGTGGCGCCTCTGATGCCCTGGTCTACAAGGGAAAGACAATGTTTTAGAAAAGTGTTGGAAAGTCCAGAATCCACTTTCTGATTCGGAGAAAACTTACTATTTTGTCAGACTGAATACTTAGCTATATCTAAGGTATCTTTTAAATTATTTGACAGCATTTCATTTAAGATATTTCAGTTATCAC